GGGGGGGGGGGGGGGGGGGGGGGGGGGGGGATTTTTTATAAGCAAAATGTTAATGTAAATGAGAAATCCTAGTGAATTTTCCATGACAGTTTTTTGAACTTCAAGAAAAGCCATTTTTTGCTTTTCGGTCAAATCTCTTATTTTTTTAAAAACCAATTCCATTTATTCAAATTAAAAACTTTTGTTAACTCGGATGAGAAAAAACTGATGTAAAATCAGTTACTAGATGGAAATGCTCCCAACAATGCGAAGCGTTGCTGATGAGCTGCAGGAACGCGCTGATGCTGTATCCCGGAGTTTCCAAACCAAGGGCACAACAACCTTTTCCGAAGACTTATCAGTATCAATCAGGCTGCTGATCCCTCAAGTTTCTTACCACAAAGAGGTAATAAAGAGATGCTGGTGATGATATGTACGTACATATCCTGTACGCTTGGTCTTATACATATATGTGCATGTATAAAATTAAACGTATAGGAATGCTTTGCTTCGATCCATGAAGCCGTATACACTGCCATTTAGTGCGATAATGAACCTCATCAGTGCATCGATTTGACGCTGATAAATTAACAATAATGATTAAGAGGGGCACATGGAGGTAGCGCGATTACAGTTGAAGATATATCAAGAATAATCCGTTTCCACGCCCGCATCATGACAAGGTGCCTGGTTTGGAGTTTCGAAGGAGGAAAGGACATAGAATAATGAAGGAAAAATAGCATAGGAATGGAATGTCCTGTCGAATCCATTTTAAAGGAAATGAAATTATTTTTCAGTGCTTCGTCGGAGGACCGACGAAACACTGAAAAATAATTTCATTCCACAAAGCTTTTACAAGTTCTCGGCACTTTGGATGTCCTCAAAGCTTTCGAACAAGTGGATCGCGTCCTCCTCCTCCTCGTATTTACACTCTGTGAGTAGCCACTGGGAAAAGCAGGACAATAAGCGTGAACTGTTACGGAAAAAGCGGTAAAGCAAGGCCATGTGGGGTAATGGCTCCACGCAGCTATATGATTTCGTAAAAAAAATAGCTATGAAAATTAGCGTTTGGTTAGGAAGCAAGTCATACTTGCTACGTTAGTGCCCGCGGATACAGCGATCATTGAACTGGCACCCTCAAAAACGAGTCTGCTCCTCAAATGAACTTCCATCGGATCACATGGGAAGGTAATGACAGCAGTCTTGGGCGGATCACCTCAAAAGACTAGATCTCGTATTGCTGTGAAGCTCAAATAATGCCTGCCAAAGTCAAAAACTCTACTCTCCGTGAATGGCTGAGTGCGCAAGAGTGTTATAAGAGTAGTTTTTAGCAAAATACACACCAACAAGATAGCGCTAGCGTGGGACCTGAGCTGCAAAATGTCAGAGTCATTCGTATCTCTCGCATGAATCAGGTATTTAAAAATTTCAATTTGCAGTATGTAAATTTTTTGGAGTCACAAAGCGAAATGTACGACAAAATTGGTAATTTGCAGAGGACATTGTACACCGAAATTCAGGATAAAGTATGATTTTCACGTTAAAAAAATCTCATTTTATTTGCTTACTGCCATGCGAATGAGCAATCACATATTCTGCTAAAGTGCCATTTTTACCAAAATCGACAAAAAAGACGATGAATTACTAACAGTACATAGCTTCATACTGTTACCAACTATTGGCTGCCTTTACTTATGCACGGGGATTTTCTGAAGTAACAATTGGCTTTTAGTTTAACACTTGAGGAGCTTTTCTGAACTGTTTCATTTCAAATGTTTGTCGTTTTGCAGGTGAAGAATCCATTAAAAACATGGGTGGTATCCGATTATGACCGTATAATGAATTCCATTGACTTGTTAAAAGTCAAACGGCGGCAAATGAATGCGGTGATGGCAGAAAAATCAGCTGTAAAGGTGGACGTGAGGTAAACTTCATTCCATTTAACATCCGTGCGCTAAAGTTTATTGGAGCTTACTGTGTTTCAATTGCAGATTTTGCTTGAAATATAACTTCACAGATATTTCGCGAATATTTAAAAATTTGCAATACACATATCTCGGTCGGCTGCTGCTCCGTCACCGCTTTTCTCATCACTGATGTAAAGCCGTTCGAAGGGACTCTTCCACCGAATTGGATTTCCCTCTGTTTCTTTAATATTGTAAGAAGCGAATTTACCTTTTAGCGCTATAGTTGTTAAAAAGTTGTCTTTTCCCATCTCTTTCCCTTCCTTCTCCAAATTTAGATACTGTGAGAGACGGAGCCCCCGAGAGCTCAACCAAAAGCAGTTGCTTACTGGCGACACTGTCCTCTAGATTCTTCTTATGTACTAAATTTCTCTTTATTTTAAGATATATACAAAAAAATCGTTCGGATTTTTAAGATAAAATCTTAAAGTTAAGTTAATCTTAAAATAAAATCTTAAAGTTCTGATCTTT